TTGACCATAAATATTTTTCCTTACCTTTCCTTCTATTCTTTCTCATTATAGTTAACATCATTGTGGAAATAGAAGCTGAAAAGAGTTCATTGCATGCAAATGCCTTACAAGCACCTCTAGATTGTGATCATACGAATTTACATGCCTGCCATCTGCACATGAAAACCTTGTCTTTGCTGCAGTGAAGCTGACTTGATGAACTTAAGTCTCTTGATTTGTACATGTCTGCACCATTACATGGTTATTTGTGTAAACACAGACATAGGAACAGTAGCAGATGCACATGTCCATCTGAGGGCAGAGTGCACTCTTAATCTTCAATAATAGTACTGGTAATATGTAACATTTAAATGAGTCTTTTCATCTTTAATGTCCTCTGCAGGCTCATGGATTCACCCAACATCTCTCTGTTATGGATATTATTAGCATCATTTTAGAGAACCAGTTATGAGACAGAGAAAAAAAACAATGTGATTTGACGAGGGCCAACTGTGGGATCACTAATGGAGGGATTGTTATCAATTGGCATTTCCTGGAAACTTTGTTCAGAGACCATCAGAAAGAATAACATAGGAACATGTGTTCAGAGACCCACAGAGAGAGCTGAAGCTGTCTGTGAGATGCCATTCTTCCCTAAGAATTTACAGGGTAATATCCAGACTATTAACCTCTCTAACAAGAGAAAAAGAGGGAATTTTTAACTGGTAAAAGTCATCTGGAATTCTCCTGTTGGTAGTTTGGGGTGCCGTTCTGTGTATTGTGATGTAGATTAGATGGATTTGTTGCAGAAAAGTGCCGCATACTGCAATGAAAGTGAAATATTACCTGCACATTGATTTAAACCACATTGAATTAAACTGCAACAATCTAGAGGCTTCGGATAGAGCCACCCTCCTATAAGTATATGATCAATCTTTTTAAAGGATCACGTTTGCATAGAAGCAAATTCCTGTGCAAAGATTGAAATGCACAAGAGTATCAAACCTATATTACAACAGCTGAAATGCTAATGCACTGCATCCTGGATTGTACCTCTCTCAGAAACATGACATGTTTTTGATCTAAGCTCTGGGGAATAATGTGGACAAAAAGCCTTTTCAAAAGCAGAGAATAAAAATTGTCTTATTTGAAATTTGAGTATAACAGCTGAAAAAATTGCCACCCTCATCTTTATTAGCCTGCTATTCAACCCACATGAAGTGAAGACATTGTAACACTGCGATTATCACCCCACTGGATATGGAGTAGTAATAAATGGAAGGAAACACATAACATATGATCCAAGAGACCTGATCCTGAAATGCACTGAGCTTCCTATTCCAGCAAGGAGCCCTTTTATCTCCCCTTGACCTCAGTGAGAGATTTGGGCTCTCCAGAGCTAGCCTGCAGTACTATTTTATTTTTAGAACTCTGGGATATGTGTATTGAAAAACATATTCAAACGAAACACTTGCCAAATGTATTTACTTACTACTTTTTTTTGTTCTTGCATCTTACCTTAACATACTACATCTGGCAACATAAAGGTATGGCATGATGTGAAAATGAACATGATGTGAAAAATAAAAATGATGTGTATTTTGTCTCGGATTTGGAAATTGTATAAGGTTAAATATATTCTGCAGGAAAGAAGTGTGTTGTCTTTCCAGAAGTGGATTTGCCCTTACATTCTACTATAAAAAAATAATAATCTTTAACACACTCTTTTGAGCTCTTTATGTGAATAAATACTGAGTAGACACATATTATTCCATCAGTATAATATTGACTGGAAAAATGGTGTTGGTTTTATTTTTCCTAGGGAACTACAGCTAGTGCTAAAAATCTTGTAATCCAGGGTGGTGTCTTTCTTTATAGGGGACAGCTATAGGCATACCATTCACTCTCTAATATTCCTACAGACATGGCAACCATCTGGGTGCTGGGGTGGGTGCACTGAGCCCTAGGGTGCCTTTAGCCAGTTCACTTGAAATCTCGAGTCTGTCCTGTCCTATCACCCAGCAGCAATGGAACATTTGTTCCCCGAAGGGCCGGCACGCTGCCAGCAGCAGGTGTTAGGCTGTCCTCTGGGATGAAGGCAGCAGGCATGAGCACTGATGTGTGCCTATGACAAGATGTTGCAAATCTGCTCTCATAGCGACGGTGACAGCATCTGGGACAGTGTTGTGAGTCACTATTCTTTAACCATTAAAAACCAGTCGCCATTCCTTTCATAATAATAAATTAAAATATCATTCCAAATCGTGCTGGTCTCAGGAAGAAAATTAAAGAATGCATATGTGGGCAAACACATGCATGTGCACTCACTCATGGTTTACAGCAGGTATTATCAAACTGTGTTCAAGGGATTGTATCTTAAGTTAACAGTTATAGTTGATTGATAAGGTAGGTTTGCGGCTACTATTCAGACTGCATTTTCAGATGTTAAAGGAAATACAATCAAGCAGAAAATGTTTAAGAGTCAATATAAAAGTTGCAAACACTATTAGGAATATATATCCTTTTGAATTCATGATTTCGTAATTAATAGATAATTCTAACACAGTTTTCCCTTTTAAATCCAATTCCCTAACACATTTAAGTTTTAAATTTTATTTACATAGGCTGAAGTTGGGCTGCTTCTGCTTATATTCAAAGCTAAGCAGGGCATGTGGCATTTTACAAGAAGAGGATTTATATAAATATCTGCATGGAAACAATAATAGATTAGCAGTAGCTGCTTGTTTCCAAAATGCCTGTTTTGAAAATGCTTCCATCGATCTGTAGGCAGGTGCACAGATATTGTTTCCACGACCTCTTCCCACGGAGATCATATTCTACTTCAGTATATACTGGATTTGAATATAGATAAAGCACGTTTTAAAAATTCACAAACAAGCCATACAGCAAATATCCAAATAATGCTGTCCCTTGATTTCTCTGGAGCCTTGCTGCAGCTTATCTGCCTTGCAATCTCAACCCAAGACCTTCCATCCTACTGACCTTTGTTGAATATAACACGTGGGATTGATGAACTTGGTGACTGGGCCTCCCTTTGACCAGTGGTCATTTCTCAGCAAAACTACTGCTTTAATTTGGGCTGATCCTGATCCGGTTCAGATCAATGGCAGAACTGTTAATGATGTCAACAGAGCCAGGGTTTCACCCTTGCCCTCAGCACTTACAATGGTTTTCATTATCGTGATGGAGCTTTATAAGCAGTGCTTATCAGCATAAGGGGCTTCAGCAAGAGAGAACTCATGAGGGTCGATGCCTCAAGTCGCATTAAATCCAAATAGTTTAGCCCAAGTAGATTTTATTGTCATTAGGGTTTCCCCTCCATTCATACTCAGGCTTCACTTGGTTTAACAGTCTGAGTGGCTGTTCACTGTTTTGTGTCTACCAAATATGTCACTTGCTCACTCTCTTCCTTTCACACATTCCTGTAAATCCCATTTTTAGAGGTTTACCTAGTAACATCCCATGCACTGCTGAAAACCAGATAACTTGGCACTGCTACCTTTCACCACATTTTAGTGAAAAAGAAGTAATTTCTTTGAATACAAACAAGAAATTGACTTAGAATGGTTCATCTTGTGGAAATACATTTTACTTTTTGTCTTGTCTCTTTTTCAATTCCTTGTTTTAAATCAAAATTTGTTCTATTTTTTTTCCCCCTCACAAATACGTTGTACAAAATAGAACCTTTTTAATTTTGACAGTTTTGAAGACAACAAAAGTATTTGTTAGAACAGAATCAGCCAATAATTCAGTTTTAAAAAAAATGCAGAAAATATTGTAAATAGCAAAACATTTTTTCTGGTCCTTTTCCAAATAAAAAAGTTTGATTTCAGGAATGGTGGTACTTTCTGGTTAAGAATGCTTTAGCATTTTCCCTCAGAAACAAGTATTTTGCATTTAAAATTTAACCTAAACCTGTGAGAAGACAAGATTCTCAAGAAATTTTAAGTGCTATGAAAATGAAACAAAAGCATTCATTTACATTGAATCATACATTCAAGGATAGCTCAGAACACATTTTTAATATTTATATTTTGGGATAGAATTGAAAAATCCATTGATCAGTCAGCTACTTCTGCTGAACGCAGAAAACCAGAGAGCTGACTAGAGCGGCAAGATCAAACAACACCCCCCCAGGGTATTCTCACCATACTCTGAGCTAATGTGTTACCTGTAATACTATTACTGACTTTAAACCTAACTCAGACATGTGAACATTGCTCTATAGTCATTAGAGTGTCTTCAGCATAAAAGCCAGTAATATAGAAAATAAACTTCTTTGTGAAAGGAAAGAGAGACAGAAAACCAGACAAAATATTAAGTGCAGTTTGAACCTCTGATGTTTTTTAGGATTAGCTGCTGGGTACGTGTTTAGCAACATAATGTCACCAAAGCCAAAAGGTGCCAATTACCAGTCATACCCTTGACCTCTGATAAAGCTTGGTGATGGGCATCCCTCTGGACAAAGTTCTTTTGATATGTTTAGCTGAACACTGAAGTTTTCCTTCAGTCTCCCACATCACTACTCACCTGCTCCATGTTTCAGATCATCTTTTCAAAGCCAGGCATGTGAATTTGAACATGTACATCTGCACTCCTCAACATTTGAAAATCCAGCCCATGGTTCAAATGAAAAAAAAAAAAAGCCACCCCACAATCCTATTCCAGTGTGAATTCTACAAGTACCCCAGAGGAAGCTGAATCAGTTATCGAAATGTTTGACAAAGAAACTGCATACTGTTTTGTCTTGATGCATTAGATGTGGGTCTGCTTTCTTTTTGAAGGAAAAAGCCTTTGCTGTAAATCGGCAGCACGAAGAATTAAAACATGAAAACAAAAGCATATTATTTAAAGAACAGCCTGTTCCCTAAACTGTTACTGTGCTTGGTGCCAAACCACATTTTGTGATATATCATGTACAACCTCCTCTTGCATGTTTTACTGTTACGCTTTGTATGACTTGGAATGAGAAAACCCTGATAGTTCTGTCTTAGACTTACCACTGCCATCAAAGACAGGTCCACTTGTATATCTGGATCACAACATGACAACTTCCTCAAGGATGCTGACTCTGAAAGAGGTGGAAAAGTGTTTGTTTACTTGGCAATGTTTATGAAAAGAAATCTGAGTTAACTAGAAATGTGAATTTGTAGTGGATCTGTTACCCTTCATAAAACACTTGGTGGACACAGAATAACAGTGACCTTGCTTGCAAAGTGCAACACATACAAAGTAAGGCCACTTCATTCTCATACAGGACTAGAAATAAATGACAGCGATCTAAGCTTGAATGTGAATTTACAGCATATCAACTAGAATTACCACCAGTATGCAAGCAAGCCTGTAGGGGTAAATGTGAAATTGTTTATTTTACACAGGGCTATGTTACATTTTATTTATCATGGAATAACAATAAACACACAGGCAAATACTGCAGAGCAGCTCATGTTCACTAACTTCACGCTCAGATCTATGCTGGAATGCTTTGTTTATATGCCTCTATCTTCCATCACTACACTTATACTAAACCAAATTCATCCTGATTAATTTTCTAAGACATACCTGAGAGGTCTAGGCTAACTTTCCATACTGTGGTAGAGAGAAGGGCTCAGCAGCCTTTTATAGATCTTATTCCTAATCTCTCACTGAACAAATTCTAACTCAGAGACACTTAGAGTTTAGAAAAAAACAGGTCTGACAAGTTTGCAAGGCAAACAAGGACTAGTGCTGGCCATAGAAAGGAAGTAAGTGGAGCAAACTATAATAGGAAGCCAATGGTGAAAGCATGTGTAAAAGCTGTCACTGCTGTTAACTGCTCCATTTGCTCAGATAGAGAAGTCCATAATATGGTACAAAAGGTCCCAGACTCAGGAGTAACCCACAGGGATATCACTGTGATGCAAGACCTGTGTTCAGTTTTTTTTATGAGCCTTTTAGAAAGATGACAGGCAGGAACTATACTAAAATTAAATATATTTCAATGCTGAGGACTCATTGGAGAAGAGGTTATAGAATCAATGTTACTCCTTCAGTCGAAATGGAACTCTCTCTGTTCATATGCATTATATCTTCAATAAAATAATTGCTTGCTACTTTTTTCTACAAGTCTCTTGTGTTATGCCTTGTGTGGTTCCGACCTTGGGATGAATCAGGGTTGTCTAGTGAAGTACACTCTTCTGGATCTCCACATATTGAGAAAATTGAGTTAATAAATGAGGTAAAGATTCCTGGAAGTGATAGGAAATTTAAATCCACCTAAGACGGAGATTTGGATTCTCTAAGTGCCATTATTAAAGTCATCATATGGTGATAGGCAAATCGCATAGTCAATGATATATGGTCACTTATATATATATACCTCATTTTCAGAAGGCCAAATTGATCCTCAAGGGTTAGAATACACTGAAGTGCTGGGAACAAAAGAGGGCCATGCTAGGGAACATGTAAAGTTTAACTTGGGTATTTCCACTAAAGATTTATAATAAACTCAAGTATCAGTAAAAAAGCAGTATCAGCTACGAGTACTTTGAAAAGATGGTTTTTTTTTTTTAGATACACTGAAAATAGAAAGTAGCCAGAATCTAAAACTCTCTTTTGTACATATTATTACTGTGAATTCAGTGGATTCCAAAGAGCAAAACAACTGACTTCATTAACAGATTAATGTCACTCAGCTGATCCAATTGCCCCAGATTTTTACCTTGCTGCATGTTAAGAAAATAATGGTTGTAAGAACCCATTTTCTGTAGTTAAACCCAAATTAATATGAAGATGTATTGATATTTTTTTTCTGTACCTCATTTCTCTTCACTTTCTGGTGGTATAAGAAAAATAAATTAATTCTTGTTTGTCACATATATATGTTACTGTAAAAAGTGCTGCAAAAGAGCTGAAGAGGAAATTAATAACTGGGCAGTAAAACAAGGCCTGGGACCACACATTGAACTGTGAGGCAAAACAGAGGTATGTCTGTGCCATCTATCTTACATATAAATAAAACCCTATGCAGTCACGTAAATAGAGAATAATGCATATACACAAGTCGTGCAACCTTAATTTCAGCTTTCTAATGTTACAATCTTTGAACTCCCCTTCCTTTTAACAATCCTTAAATGTTATTTCACTGTAATTGCTGTGTTTGCAATGAGAGATTTGCTTTTCAAAATGGAGTTATTCACAGTCCAGAGTGGGAAGAGAGAGGCTCTGGGAAAGAGAGAAAAGAAGGGTGCAGGATTGTAACTTACCTGTTCAAATCTCTTGCACACATGGCAGATAGTTCTGACAAAGGAAGTTTTTCCCTCATAAATGTTCATTCCAGAGGAAAGAGGTCTTTATCTGGAGGAAAATGCTGAAATGAGGGGCTGTAACAGCTTATTCCTGAGTGGCTCTGTGTGCTGACCAGCCCATAGCCATAGCTGGTACACCCAGCTCTGAGGGAGGCAAGTGTGCATTCGGCACTAGTGACCACTGATAGAGGAGGAAAAACTTATGGTTTGAGACAGCTTCTGTGAGATGTGTTTGTGTTATGACTGGGCAAAGGTGTAAGCTTTGTGCTTTGTGCTTTTTTTTTTAACCAAAGAAGGGAAAACCACAGAAAGAAATGGAGACAAAAAGGAAACAAATAAACAAATGTGGTTTTACAGAAACTGAAGGACAGTTTATCCTCAGCACAGCAAGCAAAAACTTGGAAAACATTTGGAAAAGTCAGAAAACAAGTTAAAGTTGGTTGGCAGACTCTGACAGAGCTGACAGCTCAAACTACCCCTGGCATGTTGACAATACTGTGGCATCAATCTGTGTGTAACAACCTATCCTTGAAAAACTCCATCCTGGATTTAAACTAGCACTTCCTAACCTTTTCTCTACCCAGCCTCCAAACTCCAGTGCAAAATAAAGTTTTCAGACATGACTTTTAACTTCCTTATGAGCAGCGACCAGTGCCCTCCCAACTGCCATCATGGCGGCAGCCTTCAGCTGTGCTCCCTCAGGGTCTGGCTCCCTCTCTCCTGCCTCAAAGGATGGCAGAGACCTCCCCTCCCCACCTCCCCATTCACCCCCTCACCTGGGATCTCGTTCCATATTCCCACTTTCTTTCTTCAGGACGTATTTGCTGTCCCCTGAAGCAAGGCCATGGCAGGAACATGAGGAGCCTTGTGACAATATGGCTTCCCTCACTGTAACCCAGCCCACTGTGGCTGCCACATGCATGAGGAGGAAGGAGCCACAGGGTTTTTTCGCTGTGGCTGCTGAGGGAGGGATGGGCTTGTCCAAACCAAAAAGCCTCTTCTCTGCTTATAAGCCACAATTATGATTCCCAGGACTGAGGTCCCCTATAGTTTTCCGGCAACATAAAGGACCTCGAATGTGTCTGACGAAGGAAGTAGGAAGTCCTCACAGTAAAAGCTTAAGCTTAGGCCCAGCAGCAGCTAATTCAGAGTTGCACAGTAACAAACCTCCACGCCGTGTTACACGGCTGTATGCTGGTGCTTGAAGGCATATAAAAGAATACCACGACATTGCTTTCTGTGAAACTCACAGTCACATCTCCTGTCTGCTGGCAGTGGCCAAGGCATCCCTGTGTCTGTACAGCTGTAAGGGCTTGCTCTGCCTCTTGGCAAGCTATTGACTGTTAGATCTCACCTGAGGTGCTGTGGTAGCAATAAGCATGACAGCCTTTACTACCTGCAGCTTCAGTCCCAGCAATAGTGGGTTTAGAAGGTTGTTTTCGTTCAGCAATCTCATGTAGGGCCGTACGTAATGCCATGGAAGTTATTGTGACTACACCTTAAAAATAGTCTTCTGTTTGAGACCCGTCAAGTGTTCTCAGATTATCTGTATTTATACGGTTCTTGTGGTCCTAAGACCCCTACGTGTTTAGTTGGATGATACACAGATAGCCTGAGTTGTCAGTCACTTTCTCCATCTCCCTTGTCACTTGAGAAGCTTACCTCACTTCTATATCCATCTTTATATAATATCCCCAAGTGATTCAGCTCAAACACCTCAGATACATTAAAGATATCCATATGTAAAATGTCAGCTTCTGTGACAGGCAAAGGCTGTACTGCACAGCTCATACACATGCTATTATGACCATATTATTTTGATTACAAAAGAAAGCTGTGCTTACTCGCGGTATGCCTAGCTATCATTTGCTGCCACATGCCACATTGAGGTTGATAGTTAGCAACCGATGGGGGGGAAAATGAATTGCTAACATCTGTTTTATCATTTTGTGATGAATGAAAAACCAAATAGAGACCTTTATTTGTGCCCGGAACACTCGAAACAATGAAATTCACACAGACTGATGTCATCATGCGTTGCATTTCTAGCAAACAACTTCCCAAATGGTTTTAGAGATATGGCTAAAAGAAAAAAAATCTTATATATGCTGCCACAAAGACAACCTCTCACCCAGCCCAGCAGACTGCAGCCTTTGGACACTTGGTTGTTGTGTCACTGGTCACTGTACTACATGTATTGAGGCATCTATCAGAAAGATGAAGATTACTTTGCTTTCCCAATCCTCATGAGCTACAGCCATGTGAATAGTGGGTCTGTTTGGTTTCCAACTGCAAAAACAAATAAAAATTCCATCTTTAACACTTAGGAAACTGTCTATTTTTAGTTTGGTTTCCTATGGAAACAAGGCATCTGTGATCAGGCTGTCTCTGTGCATGTATCTGTCCTTGTGTACCCCCTAATAATTTTTCAATCTAGTGGCCTTTACCAACCAAATGTGATGAAATGACAGAAGTTTCAGGGTAACTGGGTTCTAACAAATATCATGAAAATAAGTGTCCAGATAGAGGAACAAAAGATTTTTATATGGTCCAACTTAGGAAAGGCTGCATCATGACCTTACATCTTATGAGGCTCCAGACAATCCATGGAGTTGAGACCTGCAGTAAGTAATACCATTACACAGAAAAGCCTCAGTCCAAGGTCACACTTTTATGAACCTCCAGTTCATAAGAAACCAGATGTAATTCATTCCATGCTCACACAACTGTTTGTTCAATACTTGCAGAGTATTCACTCCTCAGTCAAAAGACTACAGTCAATTCTCCATTTCCCTGCAACCGACAAACAACCTGGTCCCAGATGTTTTCAAATTTGACCTATCATTTGGGTCAGAGGATCAGGATCGTGCGATACTTGTCTATGAAATTAAAGCTCCCCAAATGGTGCATGTTTTTGCATCAGAAAACTTCAGGGAATGCCTGCAAGCAGGAGATCTTTGGGAATTAACCAGTGAGCCCTGTAAGGAGAAGAAAATAATGTAGGACTCAGCTCTCCTTTTTAAACTGGCAACTAAAATATGTGAGCATATTAAGAAACAAATGTTAAAGATGTGTTGGTTTTGGTTATTGGTTATTGGTTTTTGGTTATTGGGAGAATGAAGAGAAGAAATGGAAGCAGTAACAAGGCATGATGCTGAATATACTTTGGTATGGACGAGTTGCTAGGTCAGATTATCTTGTTCCTTTTCATCTGAATCCATCTCTTGCTATGTCTTCAGTCTTTCCAATATTGTCCAAAGCTGGAAAAGAAGCAGCTGAAAGAAGTGTCTTTTGGGGTAAGAAAAGAGGAAGACATATAGTAGTTAATAGTATATATGTAAGATTTTCTTAGATTGCAGATTAGACACGTTCCAGTTGACTTGGAGCAGGCTTACTCTACAACTGGAGTCACTGACACACAACATAAAGACATTCCTCTCTGAGCTGGATCTGAATCTGTACAGCTATACTTCTGCAGTTTCGCATCCAAATTAATAAGCTCTCACTGCTTCTGGATCTGTTTTGTGTAAGTACTGTGTAGAAGCTTACTGGCCCAAGCTGGTGCTTGCTTGGGGCTCTTTGCACTGTGCTCTATTGTACAATGAAACACATACAAGACATATGAGGAGCTGTGAGTGTAGATGGTGTGTTACTAGGGGAGCTAGCAAGGCTAGCAAACTGGGGAGAACTGCAGCTTCCACTTTCCCTGGAGACCAAATGTTTTTCAAACCCTGCTAAGGTCTGCAGTGAAATCTCAGCTGATTTGTAGCTCTTTTCCACTCTCTAGGCTTATAAGAACTCAACATCCGGGGAGACAAATGAGCCTTTAAGTGTGAAAACGGTCTTCCTAACAAGAAAATATCCTGGTTGTAGAGATGCTTCCCAACAGCTCTGACAGCTTCTTGCATCCCTCTTTGTGGTGGGCACAGAAACTAGAGAGGATGGAGGTGATGAGGATATTTATCTTCACCATAGTGTGCTGAGGAGGAGGTCCCATGAAGTAACGATTTTGGATTTTCCCCAGATTAACATTACAGTTGCCATTCCTACCATGTAGGACTCTGCTGTTACCTCATCCCATTCCATATCACGTGCTAGCAAAATCAGCTACACTACTTGTTTGCTATTGTATAGACATTGCAATTAGAGGTTTCCTAATTTCTGGTCTTTTACATAGAGCAATAATAAAAGTCTTTGAAAAATAAAAATGGGCAGACATATTTTTGAGACCATTTGGCTGGCACTGAAAGGTAATATCTTTTAGTTGTATAGGTTTTTTTTCTTTCCAATTTCCACAACAACACTTACCGTAATTCATTTAAAAAGAGACTTTAGAAAGCAATGGATATAATTAATGTATTGATCTAGTTTTCCATTATGTTATCACAGGTGAAAAATGTGCTTTTGATGAAATTGTTGATTAAAACTACCAAAAATCCATTATATTTAGCTTACTTTTCCTTACCTAATGAAGCAAATGGATATAAAATGAAGGAATGCCATATTGACCTTTACTAGAAATATATGTGGCATATAACTTGATACCTATAAGATAATTAATATTAATCTGACCTTTTTAGTTTCTGGGCTAGATTTCTGTTACTAATAGCAGCTGTATAATGTGTTGTATGTTTTCACTGAACAGGTCATGCACTGGATAAGAGAAGGAAAATTTGGATTAGTTGGAGCTGTTCTCATCTCCTAGATTCAGGATGGGGGAAGGAACCTCTTCCGAGTTCTTACGTCTTCCTAATTCTTACAAATCCCCATCTTCTTTTCCAAGCCTCTCATGCACTTTGGCAAGTCAGGATTGTTCATAGTGCTTCTTCTGTGGCCAATATATTTTGAAGGAGGAAAAGCGGACTTCGGACCAGCATTAGGAAGTACAGAAACGGTAAAAACAGGATATCGGATGGTTTCAGCAAGACAGTCCCAGTCTTGTGCTGGTCACTCTTCTTGTGCAGGGACCATCAGTACACTTAGCTACCCAGCATTCAACATGATAATGAAGCAATGTTATTTTACATGATAAGATAGAGGGGCTATGTAAGTATGAAATTACAGCTTGCCTAGTATGAAATTACTCAAAAAATGGCTTTTGCTTTCAAAATTCAGATCAACTCCAGGTCAAATTAACTTTAAATAAAGACAAATCCTAAAACGAATGCAGTGAACTCTGCAACAGGCTTTTAAGGAATGTTCTATTCATAAGCATTTTTTCTAACTTAAGTCAGTGATTGGCCTTTTCTAAGTTTTAAAAAAATCCCAGATATTTGCTGCATTATTTAACAGCAGCTGTCCTTCACATTGGCATAACAAAGCAATTGTGCCTCAGTTTCTCCTTAGTAATTTGGTGTTAGCATTTTGGTCCCTAGTTGAAATCAGAATATTCATGTTTTTCAGGAAAAGTGAAAGAATCCAAATCAAAATCCCATTCTGTCTGCTTTGGTTCAAGTGCAGACCTTTACAGTAAAGGTAGACAGTGCTGTCTTTGTGTCCACATGTTTCAAAGCTCATGAACTCTTAGAGGGCATTTGTATTACTCACCTTCAGTCAAAGGTGCCCTCTGAGAGAAAGCTCACAAGTATATGTGGGAAAATGCTTCACCACATTGGACATTCCTGGCTGTTAGCTGAAGCAGTTCTGTTATTGTGTATCTTGCAGCAAAATACTGTCCGAATGTCAAATTAAAAGGGTGAAGATGCAGACAAACCCTTATCGTCTCCGTGTTCAAAGCCTGTCCAGCTTTTCTAGTCATCTAAACACTGCCTATTTACTCTGTTCCTACCATGCTGTTTTGTTTTCTCATGGCATCACTCCCCTCTGTGCTGTGAGTGTTATAAGGCTGACCTCAGACACTTCTGTACATACAGTATGCTGCATAATAACACAAGAAGGCTCCACATGTCCAAAACTAAATGTGTTCTTTATTAGGAGCACTGGTTAGCGCTAAGCTGTGACTGCAGCCGGCGCTCCAGCCATTCTCATTCAGGCTGAATCCTTGGGTGCCTTCACTCGCGCAACCCCTGCTCCTCCCTTCAAATTCTAGACAGGCTGTTATCAGCAGTTGTCTGCCTGCTATATAGACCAAATGGAAAGGCTCCTCTTTCTCAGGATCACCACCTATAACAAGTTTCTCAGCTTCAAATTTCTTCCCTGTTTATTACTTGACTGTACTTCAGTGAATTACCCTACACTTCTTTTCAGGGTCTATGGCTTCTCTCTTAAACTCCTATTGCATTCTCCCTTTTCTCCCCCTCCTCTCATTGTCTTATGGACATATAGACTCTTATATGGTATGTCCATATATGGACATACCATAGACTCTTTCCCAGTCCCAGTTTCTTCCTTAGTATCATCTGTTTCATACTTTCCCTGGCTTTCCTGATCCCCTCAGGATGAAGAATATTGCCCTTCTCAGTTCTTCTTGGAGTATTTATATATACATAAATATACATATATATATTCCCAAGACCAGATTTTTATGCAAACTGTGTGTTCAATCACTAAATAATTTTTTTTCAGAATATTTTTATATTTCTGTCTCTTTACAGTCAGCAGCATAACCATCTCTTCTTTTAAAGATGCTTGCAAGTCTTTTTCTGGCTAATATAAATAATGTAAATAATTCATGTATTTAGTAATGATAAATATTCATACTTCATTTGAACCAGACAGTGGTCGTCTAGATTAAATTAAACTGCTTTGGATTCAACAGCTGGCAATCTCCCCATGCCAAATAAGGGATTTTACTCATACTTTATTTAAAGTATATAGCTACCAGAAATGGGAAATGAGGAGAAAAAGAAATAGATTCTCTTACCCAAATATATAACACATCTGTCTATTGACTGTACTTTCTTCAGACTTTGCTACAAGCAAATACACTTATTTCTGGAACAGATGAAATGGGTGCTGAAAGGAAGAATGCAGTTAGCATACTTTATGAGCATAGATAGCTATGTCAGAGTCTCTTAACATTTCTGGAGTTCAATTCTTAGTGAGTCATATTCCTCGTGCCTGAGGAAACTTGGTAATTTTGGGGGTCATTTGGAAAAAAAACCAAGCAAAACAATAAAAAGAG